TATATATATATATATATATATATATATATATATATATATATATATACACACACACACACACACACACACACATCCTTGCTTGTGATTTGAAATAATAGAAAATAATTATTGTTCTCCTGCCGTGTCTTTTTCAAATACATTACTTACTGAAATTGTATTTGAATTAAAATATTTTCAATAAGAAATGCACCAGTTTAAAACCTAAGTGGGATTAGGGAATGCTAAACATCTTTTTTTAAAGCGTTATAAATTTTCCATGCTTTTTTAATTACAAGAGTTATTGTGGGGCCCCAAATCTGCATTACTCTTCCAGATTTTCAACTTATGGTACTTTTAAAGTGATTGTTGTACAGCTACATTCCAGAATATCAGAGCATTCTAACAAGTAAGACCAGTTTAGAGCAAGGTAGGGGAGCCTCATTGAAATATCTTGTCAGCTGATTACTTATGTGAAGATTTTTGGTTTTTATGCAATTAAAATAGCAATTCTAACTTACATTAGTGCAGTTTTGGGAAATCTATATTTCATTCCTTATAAACAATTAAAGAGGAATTGTTATGAACTGTGATTTTATATCCTTTTTTGCAGAGCAAATCGATATGTGCTTTTGAGAGCATCTATGCATTATTGTCTCTTTTCTCTTCTTATGTTACAGAACTTCTAATGAAGATTTTTTTGACTATCTAACCAACAATAGTCGAGTTTTCTGATATTGAAGCTGTCTGGATCCAACATGTAGCAGATAAATACTATGCTACTTCTATACCACACTTTTGTCTTTTAAACCTCCTTGTATAACAACAGTGAATGAATCATCTTAATTCCTTTTTTGGATTTTGTTAACTAAAATTCAAGTTGGATTTCAAGTGGTATTAATTAAACTGAGGAACAATGAGTAGTAGTCTTGGAAAAGAAAAAGATTGTAAGGAGAAAGATCCCAAAGTGTCTTCAGCAAAAGAAAGGGAGAAAGAGGCCAAGGCCTCTGGTGGATTTGGGAAAGAAAGTAAAGACAGAGAATCTAAGACCAAAGGGAAGGAAGCCAAAGATGGGAAGAAGGACTCTAGTAGTGCACAGCCAGGTGTGGCTTTTTCAGTAGACAACACAATAAAACGGCCCAACCCAGCTCCAGGTGCCCGTAAAAAATCCAGTAATGCTGAGGTGATCAAAGAGCTAAACAAATGTCGGGAAGAAAATTCAGTACGTTTGGACTTGGCTAAGAGGTCTATACATCTGCTCCCATCATCTATCAAAGAGTTAACCCAGTTGACGGAACTTTATTTATATGGAAATAAGTTACAGTCACTACCTGCTGAGGTAGGCTGTCTTGTGAATCTGGAAACTTTGGCCTTAAGTGAGAACTCACTCACCAGCCTTCCGGACACTCTTGGTAACTTGAAACAGCTTCGTATGGTTGATCTACGGCATAACAAATTGAGAGAGATTCCTCCTGTGGTGTATAGGCTAACTTCCCTTACTACACTTTATCTGCGCTTTAATCGTATCACTTCAGTGGAAAAGGATATCAAGAACTTGTCCAATCTCACCATGCTAAGCATACGGGAGAACAAAATCAAACAACTCCCTGCAGAAATTGGTAAGAATTTTTAAAATCCTGTATGAAATGCTTATTTCTTGTATACATTGGTATTATTGTATGTCTGCTATTAATGAAAAAAAGTTGTAGCAATTAAAACATATTGATAATAATTAAGCCTGGTACAGTGGTTGGAATGCAGTATTGCAGACTAACTCTGCCCCCACACTGGAGATCGTCCTGATGGGGCTCGAGATTGAGTCAGCCTTCCATCCTCCTGAGATTTGTAAAATTTGCCGCACATTCAATATTCTATTTATAATGAATGGCAATTTTTAACCTGTCTTATAGATTTATTTCACTTGAAATAATACATAAAAAGGTAAAGGTAAAAGTTTTCACCGTCCAGTTGTATCCGATTCTAGGGAACCAACATAGTTTCTTGGCCAAAGAAGCCAGCATTGTCCATAGACATTCTGTGGCCATGTGCCAGTTTGATTGTACATTGATGTGCACGGAATGCCACTACCTTCCCATCAAAGTGATACCTATTTACCATGTTTCCCTGAAAATATGACAGGGTCTTATTTTCTTTTTACTTATAAAATATGGCTTTGGGCTTATTATAGGGGAGGGCTTATTGTTTTGGGGTTGCTGGGCGGCTGCTCCCTTGCGAACTGGCTCCCGAAGAGCCGGGCACAGCCTCAGGGGTGAAGCAGCCATGAGGTGACCAAGGTCATGAGCAATTGCCTGGCAAACCCCCCTTTCCAGCCAGGCAGAGTGCCATTCACTGACCTAGGGGGTATCCCTAAGGTGCCAAGCCACGTGGTGCTCTGCCCACTCCTCAGCTGCCACGGTTTGGCACATTAGGGATACCCCCCCTAGGTCAGTGAATGGTGCTCTGCCCGGCTGGAGAGGGGGTTTGCTGGGTGATTGCTTGTGAGCTTGGTCACTTCATGGCTGCTTCGTCCTTGAGGCTGTGTCCAGCTCTTCGGGAGCCAGTTCGTAAGCGAGCAGCCGCCCAGCAACCCCAAAACAATAAGCCCTCCCCTATAATAAGCCCAAGGCCATATTTTGTAAGTAAAAAGAAAATAAGACCCTGTCGTATTTTCGGGGAAACACGGTATTTACTTGCATTTATATGCTTTCGAACT